GCACCTTGGCACGGCATCTCAAACTGCCTATGCACCGCTGCTACGGAAACAATTGGTGTTCCTCAGTGCAAGAAAATGAGCTGATACGATGAGAAATGTTGAAGTGCAGTGGAGAGAAAACAGTCTGCCAAAGTCATGCTGTCCGAACAGTTTGAAAGCACTCTGGCTTAGCTTGGAGTATTAGCTGCATTATCTGCTAGTGGAAGATCAGTTCTGGATTTGCTTATATTATATATTAGAAAAATATATAAAACATAAAAGTATCAAGCCATTCTTAAAAAAAGTGACAATTTTTCGCCAATATATGTACATTTATAATAATAGTATAAATAAATTAATAAAAATTTTGCAAATTATTCTGCAAAATAAATAAATATGTATGTATGTATGGACATAATTGTGAGTACATGAATGATGGCAGATGAATGTGTTTGTTTTTTTTTTTCCATAGCGCCATAACCACATAGTCTCTCTAAGAATACATAGGAATAAGTTGTAGTTGTTAGCTTAATACCTACAGTTTCAGTTTACTCGATTGTTTGACTGATGTTAATTATTAGCAAATAAATAAATAAGTATTTAAAAACGTGAACTTACACGACCACGGTGATGTAGTTTTTTCTTCATTTCAGTTTCTATGATTTAAATAACGGTATTTTATAAAGTTTAAATTATATTTAGAGAACTTGGAAAGCAAAGAAATGGCGAAAAACTTACTTTGAAAACACTTCCACGTAAATACAAAAACACAAAATGAAGGAAAATTAGAATCCTCTTGACGTAACATAAAACTCAAATACGCACGACTAGTACGGAAAATTCCAAAATTTAGAATACATAGATAGGACATTTAATAAGCACATAGTACATAAAAGGTGTTAATAAAAATTTTTAATTCGAATTACTCTTATATATGAATGTATGTATGTATGTATGTATTTACATAACGTTCTTAGGAAAGCATATTGAATTATACGCCGAAATTTTATATTACATCATTACATTCAATCATAATAAATGAAAAATAAAATAAAAAACAAATAAAAAAGCCAAAAATTCGGTGCGACCGAAAATTTGTAACCCGACTGCTGTTAAAGACAGGATTAAACAAAACAAACATTTTTGACAATTACCACGTTAAATCGGTTTATTGTACTTGCTTAAATATTCTGCGAAGACCACTTGATTTACAAAAAAAAAAAAAACTAAGAGGCCAGCTAATATTTATAAATGAAAGTATTCTTTATAAGTTGTAGTAAAAAGTTCGTTCGGTTTTTATCTAAGAGATGGCGCTATTGTCCATAGTACTGGTGGTGTTGCGTATCGCAACATGACATACGATACGGCGCTTTTGTAACGTATTTATTCGCGCTAAAAGTTTGTCTTTGACAGTTTTTCGATAGATTGACTCAGTACGTTGTGAGCGCTCGTCAAAGATGGACACCAGCAAAGAGAAAATTCGCTGTATTTTACAATTTTTCTTCAATCAAGGCGAAAAAGCACCCAAAGCGTCTGGAAAAATTAATTTAGTTTATGGGCCCGATACTGTAAGCGAATGTATAGCACGAACAACAACGGCGCATTATTGACTTAAATCGGACAAATATGCACAAAATTACCATATTTTGAAAAATCAGTAAAAAAAAAACCGTACGTTATTTGGCCTAATATTTTTAGAAATCTGTAAATGTAAAGATGGAGCACACAGTAGCTCAAGATTTCGCAGACCAAATATCATCTGGGTAGGGAAAAAAAAACCATTTAAAGCGAGCTATTGTCAAAATTTGCAAATTGACTAAACCTTAACTTCATGACATTTTCGGCATAATACATGTATTTTATCAATAATTTTTATTTTAAAAATTATTCTTATGTGGAAGGTGATAGTAATTTAAGTTCACTTTCGTCCATATCGAAATTAATTGAGATATTTCAAATTTTATTTCAGTTATACACAGACAGATGGACATATGGACCGCTAAATCGGTTTGCCACAACAGTCATGAAATTCATAACTACACCTATTCGTTAATGCTAAGACATACAGGCAATCTTCAGCTAATAAACCCTGCTCGCACAATATGGCTGGCAATAAAAATTATTTTACATCTTTAAATAAGATACTGTGATACATAGTGGAGCAAGAACGATAAACAATAGACTGCGCCAATTAGTTTTTCGCCGTCACAGTAACAAATACGTTTTGATTAATTGCCCATTCGCAAAAATACAGATGTATAAAATGCATACAAAATCGAAAGCAATGAAAAAAGATATATCAAAAATAAACCAACATTTGCGTAGTTCTTTTATTGATTTGTTAGTATGACGTGAGCAAAAAAAAAAAAAATTAACTTTGTAACGGTGCTATGTATGTATACATTCATTTATGATCGCGTATATGTACATACATATATGAGAACTAGCAAAAATAAGTACATATATGCAGTCATTTTGTGAGTGTCTTCGGAATTATCAGCAGTCGGATATGTAAAATAAATATAATCATTTAAATATAAAAAATGTATTTGGATGTATTGTTGTAGTATTTTATTTTTAATAAAGTATGTACCTTTGATTTTGGTTATTGTTATTATATTGATACTTGAATTATTTCTGTAGACTCTCTAAATATGTATGTATATACTAAACTTAGTATACTAATAGTAATTAGTACGTGCTTGGAACTGTTATAGATTTAAACAAATATTACAAATTACGAAACGAATGGTAAGAAATATTAAGTGATTGCTTACTCAGCGGTTTCGAGTTAGATTCTACGTTTTATTTATTTTTTTTTTTAATTCACTCATAATGAACTGTGTGTTGATAAATGGGGTTAGTTGTTTACTGAAATGAACTAAAAGATCAAACGCACCGTCGTAATAGACCAACTTTTTCGTCAAACAACCTGTAACCTGTTAAAAAAATTAATATGATTTTAATATACATAGTATATATATGTATGTATGTCTAAAACTACAAGTAATAAACAAAATAAATAGATAATACATATATTTAAGGTGAAATTATGTGGACCAATGTGCAGTTAATCTCACAAGCACAACATGTTTATCGGTCAGTGTCTTACATTTGAAAAGCTCCACTTGTGAAAAGTTGATTTTAAATATTTTATTGAGTTAGTAAAAAAAAAATGTTTACGATTCTTTGTCAATTAATTAATTAAATAAATTATTTTGTTCAGAAGCAGAACGAGTAAGATTTTCAAATGTGAATTTTTTATGTGAAAATGTTATTTAGATAAATTATCTATAAAAAATTTATATGCATTTACATACATACTTATCGTAGATACTTAGTTATCGTAAAAGATGTGCTCTTTCACTCACACCTACCTCCCTCGTTCATCTTCTAAGCAAGCTCAAATAAACATAGGATTTTTTGAAGGTACATACATATACGTAACGTAGTATATAAATTCTCATAAAATCATACACTGAAAATAGAGTCAATGCAGTTTATGTAAGCTAATTATTTAGTATAAAATATTTTCAACGTAACACCATTAACATTTACAAATCAAATTGCCCGCTAACCGCGTTGAATATTGTAAAATTTGAAAAAAAAAAAAATCAAAACAGAGCGTAAATTCTAAAATCTAAAAAAATTAGTATGAATCAGCTTCTACACAATATATGAAAAAACATTACATACAATACATAGTACGAATGTATACAGCCATTCTATGCTTACCACAAAAGAGCTTTGATTTACTTGGATATTATGGAAAAACGATAAAAAATCAACAAAATAGAGCAGCAAAATTTTTCACAAGTCCTTTGTTGGAATTACTGGATGAATTGAGCAATATATCAAGCAAAATATACAATTATTATAAATGTTATTTTGAACACAAAACGAAGTATTTTTCCAATTGTGTATTTATTTATGCTCGGCTAGTAATTCTATACAATCAATTATAGAAATTTCTGCTATTGAACATTTTGATTTGAAATCTTTCACACTAACTGGTTAAAAAGTGTCCAGTAGGGTCGACTATATAATTTAAAATACATATAATTGGCGATTTGTAACCGCTGAAGCGACTTTCGGTCGAGCTCTCCCTCCAACTTCTGGTGTGCCTCTTGATATTTTTCCAACAAATCCAAAAACCCACAGTTTACTCTAAGCCGATGGCTTTTTTTGAGGAACTTTTATTTTATGTCAGGAATACAATCCCAGCTGAGGATCGATCGCAATGAGAAAAATTAATTTTTTAGGATTATGGATGTTTGGCCAGCCAAATGATAGTACGCACTGCTAAATTTTCGGCTATTACACTCGCTTATTTTAAATATTTTATTTAATTATCAATACAATAAATTCAAATATACATAGCTCCCGCACCTTTTGAGATTCCAATATTATTATTTTTTTTTTTTTGCTCATATCGATCGATCATTTTTTTCCAGCTTCCCATATGTTTTAGCAAAGGTTTTTATTTAATTTTTGGCACATCGGAGCAGACGATTTGTAAAATTAAAGCAAAAACTCCGTGGCTAATATAGAATGACTGTATATACGCGAATCTAAACATTAACGAATTGCATGACAAAGAATAAATTTTGTGTATACTATGTATGTTACATATCTGTAGGTTCATATACTATATATCTATACTATAACACACATTCATATAATCTAGAATATTCAATTAAATTACATATTTGTTGTAAAAACTTACGTTTTCGTTTAATTTTATTATGTATGTTTTTTCGCTTTAAATAAAAAATTTAATGTTCGCAAATAACTAAAAAAAAAACAGATGTTATATATATATAAATTATATAAATATATAAATAAGTATGTATGTACATATACGTGGATATCAATAAATAGCATTAGAGAAAAATAGTTAAAATAACTAAAGTGTATCCATAGAATAACAGAAGAAAGATAGCAATTTTGAACGAAAATCACCAAAGCAAATTATCTCATTTTCTATACCAGATTTTTCGCCGAACGAGTTTGGTTGTTGATTTTTTTTTTTTTTTTTTGTGTTTCAGCACATGCGTGAGTATACAGGCTTTGGTTAAAACGGCTTATTTCAAAGATCTTACGGAAAATTACAAACTTGTATTATGTATATACGGCAACAACAACTCTGTTTAAAAATATGTTCTTTCAATTGGAAAAAAGTAATAACACAACTATTTAGTAATAATGAATTTTAGAGTGCGCTTACGAGTAAACAGTTTATAGTAGAATGGATTAAGATTTCAACTTGCTTGTTGTCGTTGTTGTTGTTGTCGTTCAAACTATTGCTCTTTTTACGTTGAAATTTTGCTGGTTAATTCTCATCTCAATGGGTAATTGCATTCATATGCAAACGCTATTGGGGGATTTGCTGAACTGCTTATTCCAAATGTTATTAATGGCTCATACGACGCCTTTTATACGTATTGTAGTTTTGCTGTACAGAGCAAATTGATATATCTTGGGGTTTAATTTGATATATATGTATGTATGTATATCTTAATTTTTTAGTTGACGCTAAATGCATTATTGCTTTTTTTCTCAACGTTTACTCATCTGGTGGATATAATAACGGCATAGGCGTTTCTAATAATGGTGCAGCCATACATATTGATGGCGTTGCACCTTGGGCAACTGATCACCGGAAACGCGGCATCATTTGCAAAACTGGATGACCAGCTGGTAGCATAACACCCACGCCTGGCATAGTCATACCCGCCATTGGGATGGCTTGTACTGGTAGTAGACCTGCTAGTGATTAATTAAAAAGATATAATAAAAAATTAAATAAATTTCAAATTGTGCTCCACTCACCTGGCATTCCTGGCAATCCGCCTGGTGCGCGCAACATATTACCACCCAGTAGCGGACCATGTGGTCCGAGTGTCATGGCAGGGCGTAACATAGGCTGCATCAATTGCATTTGTCCTGGCAGTTGCATCTATAGTGGTGCATCGTACAATGATAGCAACAAAATAAGAGAAGGAAAAAATACATATTAACATATTTTAATTCAAAAGATAAATGATGAAGTAGCGACAGCAACGGCTTCGCACACATTTCATTTACACAAAAATTTACTAATGTTATTAATATGTATTGTATTATTAATTCTTTTATGCATGTATTTTAAAAAGTAGTGGTAATATATAGTATATTCATATATATAAATATATATAGATATGTTTGATTTCACTTCGCATTACAATGAATATAAAAGGCATTTCGGTAATAGAAGTAGAATAGAAAATATGTGAAAACGTACTTACTTTAGCCGTTCACTACTCACTTTTTCGACCGACCGCTCTCTTTTCCCTTCACACTTATCATTTAATTAAATAAAACTACTAGCGAAATGTATGCCTAATAAGTAATAAAAGTAATAAATATTTTCCAAACCATGTTAAATCTCCTGTTTTCATTACTTAATTATACAAACATACATACATATATCTATTTGTATTGTATATTTTATCAGCGCCTACACTTGCTACAAGGAATATCCGCTTTTTGTTATCAAATAATTCTGATAAATCTCAACGATTTTATTGTGCTTCTACTTCAACGTAAAGATGTGGGTCCCCATATAAAGGGAATTTCCTTTAGTTTTAAGCAGCCTGCGAAGGGCAAAGGGATTTACAAAAGAAAAATTAACTTATTATATGAAGATATTGACCAACCCTAACAATGGGCAACCATTTACAATAGAAAAACGATTCTGCTCTACCTTTTCTTACTCCTGATACTCACTGCTATTCAGTCAGCTACTGAAAAAACTTTTTCTTTTTTTTTTTTCAGTGAAAAATATTACACAGCGTGGCAAAAGATCAGAATTTAATATGCGTATGTATGTGATGAAACTGTAGTCACAAGTCTTAAACCTTTTCTATTATGAGTTGCATTCGATTATCAATATTCGTTAGCAGTCGAATATCGAAAATAAATTTTAAACTTTTCCTTTTTTTATTTGAAAAATTTGTCTCATGTGAATATGAAAATGATATTCCTTTCATTTTTTTTTTTTTGACTAGAGTCTCTTTAAGGATGAAAGAAGGAAAGCAAGTAACCATAATATTTTTATTGCTGTCCGCGACTAACTTAATATATCATCGTTTACCTTCATAATAAGAGCTTCCTTTAGGGTAAAAAGAAATCTTTAACTCAAATTGTACCCACCCGTTACAGCATCGACATACTTCGAGTTCAGTTATTTTAATTTGTGAAAACTTAATTGTGGTAGATTTTATTTAAAAATTTTGCTAAAAAAAATTTTTACTTTAAAAAAACAAAAAGAGGAAATCTTAAAAATTTATAACGCAATCATGCAAATATTGTTCGCTGCACTTATTTCTCGTGCAAAAAAAATCTTTCAAGGAGAATCTAAATGAATTATTTTATATCTCAACTATCAGAGAAAAACTGTTCCAAGAACTTAATTCTTCGAAAGAGCACAATTTTTATCAGTTGGCAGTTATTTTGTAAGCAATCTAAGGTACTTCAGCAAAAAAAAAACACAATTTCGATTTTCTTCTGCTTACAAATATGCTTTGAGTTTGCTGGACGTCATCAGCGAAAATTCTTCATATTAAAATTATTAAAGAGGCTCTTTAACTAGTTTTTCGAAAAATGTGATGAGTTGAAAAAGTGTAAAAAAGTAGTAAATTTGAACTCATTAAGTTAAGAAACATAATTCTTATTCACACACTCAGACGTGATATTTAGCTCAAAAAAAACTCTAACTAACTAAAAAAGAAAATTATTTATTTTTATTTTTTTTTTTTTCGAAAAAAAAAACTTAGATCTATGCCTTAAGAGGTTGCATAGGTCTTGAAACTTTAAAAATTCATTTTTTTTTTTGATAATTTTTTGTATAATAATACAAAGTGTCAGGGATATTTTCTCCAAGTTTCAAGTCGATCGAGACGAAACTGTACAAATTAATTAATTAGTTTTATAACCCACCGTCTTTGTCATGGCTTGACCGATGGCGAAACTTTAAACGCGTTTTTCTTTAAATCACTTTTCGAAATCAATTTTTAATTTCTCTTCGTTCAGGGACAAGGAAAATTCACCTACTTTAAGGAAAAATTTGATTTTTTGATTTCAGTTAAAAATTGAAAAAGTTATCGTGACTACCGCGAAAGCACTTTCTTGTGGACGGTCTACTTCGCAACACTGCCAACGCCTTAACTTATACAATTTTTCATTCAAATTTTCATCAAATGTTGTCCACAAACTGTACTTTTATATGTAATAAAAATAAATTGTATACTTTATTTAGTATCTTTAAAAAAAAAATAGAGAAAAGAAGCTTTTTTGGCCTTCAAGACCTATGTAACCTCTTAGTTTGCACCACAAAAGTTAAATAAATTTCAAAAATCTTTATCAACGCGTTTCAGTAAAAATTGGTAACAATTGTTACTACCGATTAGTTAACTAAACAGAACTATTTTTTTAAATTAAATAAACAAAATACACATAACTTTTAGGTGTAACGTACATATTGTACCCCGTTTGCAAAATTAAAAAAAAATTCTAAATAAATTGCAATAAAACTCATTGGAGCTCTCTTGTAGATATTTTTATTGAAAAAAAAAAAATATTATTATTATCAACCATATGCATTATGTATGTAGATTTTCTATGTATATTTTCAATGAGATCATCAGAAATATTCGCAAAACCGTATGCATAATTGTATAAGAAAAAAAAAAATACTTTCGTGGGTATGGAATGAAAAGCAGGAAAATATCTATGAGAGACGATTTTAGTGTTTAGTAAGTTTGTGTAGAGTCGCCAAACAGTATAAATTGTTTAAAAATTTTGTTCTATCAGGTTAGATGAATAAATTTGTGGATTTGTAGTTTTCATATTGCACTTAAAAACTAATTAATGCAAAGCGTATTAGATAAATGAATTCTTCATTTTATTCTTCTAACATAAAAATATAATAAATACATTAAACGTCCCATCACTTTTGTAGTTTATAGAAATTATTAAAAATAAGATATTTATAAGAGTATCAATCAATCAGTCAACCAATAAATTAAACAGCTAACCAACTCAGTAACTATTTAATACGACAATTCGTTTACAAAAACATAAATCGTAGAAATTGTACTTACATGATTTTTTTTTTTAAGTAAAATAATTATTAATTTATCATTATACACGACTGTGCAGAGTACCCTGGGTATATAAATAAATTTTGTTTCGCCAACGGTTATTACTTAGATGGCGAATTAATTCAAACATAATTGATTGTCTCTCCCACCGTCGGTTGGTTTATGCTATATTTTCTTCTTCTTCTTTAGTGGCGTAGACACTGCTCATGTGATTAGAGCCGAGCTAACAACATCGCACCATTCATTTCTTATATTCGCTGCTTGGCGCCAGGCTAATTGGAAATACCAAATACAGTCAGGTCCTTTAGGTCTTCTTATGCTTCCAGCAGCGGGTACTGCATCGTAAACTTTCAAAGCTGGAGTATTCTCATCCATGAGCGACTTGTAGAGTGTAGTCTCGGTTTGTCGAGAAATGACTTTCAACACCTGTTGGCAAACAGTGATTCTGCATGAATTTTCAGGCTGTAGTCATTGTTGTTAGTATCAATGGTGGTTCCAAGATAGATGAATTAATCTACGACCTCGAAGTTATGACTGTCAACGGTAACGTGGGCGACGAGTTGTTTGATGACAGAAAATATGTCACTTTGCCCTCGGTCCTACTACCAGACTCATTCACTTCCTTATCAAATTTCGAGAAAGCGGTATCAGTATCCGCCAGCAGCTGTCTATTCTTATAGAAGACTATACCTTGTCTATTCAGCTCGACAGCTCGTATTATTTTCTCAGGCAATAAATTAAAAAAGCCCCTCGAACGGTATCGAACGACTTGATAAGCAGCTTCCCGAAGTCACTTTACATAGCCGTATAAGATTCGCGGCGTAGAGGGAGCTTCTTTTTATGCTGTCGAAGATTGCTTCATCAACGAAGAGTTGGTGTGTGTCGAACCTCTATTCACGGGTATTTGCAAGATTTGGCGCATGGCGTATATTTGATCAATGAGATCAGTTTGTTGACGGCGGACTTTAGTCTTCCGCGCAATACGTTCTATAGGACCTTATGTATATGCGATATTGCGGAGGCTTATCCCACGGTATTTGGCGCAGACTGTGGGGAACACCTTTCTATGGATACTTAGTTTCCAATTGTCGGGCATGCTTTCATCTAACGGTATTTTGCAAGGAAGCTGATGCATGTATCTTATCAGCTCTTCGCCATCGTATTTGGATACCTTGCTGTTTTTCAAGCAGGTGATTGTTGTATACAGATGTGGATTTTTTATTATTATATATTTTTTTTTTGCTGTTACATACAACCGTTGGTGAAACAAAACCTTATATATTTTATTTATGTACCAAGTGCAGTCAGGTATAAAAATTAATAATATAAAAATTAAATTAATGAAATGTTAATGTGTTTAGTTTACATAGAGAATTCTCCAGTATACACTATGTATATTGAATTGATATTGAAATTTGAATACATACATACATTCACGCGTATGAAACATGAAACCGTTGTATGCAGTTTTTGATAAAATCCATAAAAACCAACTTTGAACCGTTAGCTGTGACTCAAAGAACAAAAAATTCAGGTGTTTCGCATTTTCCTCCAAAATTTTAGCCATCCCTAAAGTATTTTGAGATATGTTTGTACATAAATATGTGTATACCAACAAAAACTCTTTCTATTTACATTTGAGCCTTACTACACATAATATTACTAGTTCTCAAACTAATGCATACACGTTCACACGATATTCTTAGTGACTGTTACATAGCTTCATGAATCCTAACAGCTGGATCAATTTTGATTATTAAAAAACGATTTTTTTCCAAATTTTCTTTTTCCAAAACCAATTGCATAAAAATAGTAGTGAATTCAGGCGCACTTGTTGGGTAATAACAATATTTAACATTATTTAAACTAACAAGAAGCCTGAGCAATTGAACAACGAGACTCGCATACCTGGCTCAATGTTCATTCCAGGAAAATATACGAGGACGAGTAAGAAGAAACATTTCGAGTTTTTCAGCGAAATCCATTTTTCTCCGTATTTATCTACAAGTTTAGTAAAATTATAATTATTGGATATATAAATCAAACACTTGATTAGTAATGAACCTGATGGGGACAAATTCATACATCTCAAAAAAGATAAGTAAATTTTAGCACGAAGAAATGCCATTGTCTTAAAGAATTTTATAGTAGTTCGAATATTCTCTTGATCCATGAACAGGTTTTTATTATTTTTATAAATTTGGCTTTGGTTAATACTCCGAGGACATCTACAAAAAATTTTGACTTTATGAAAAGCAAATGACACCGTCAAACATGTCAGATAGTCATTGTCAATATACAATACTTCCGCTTAAATGCAGCAGTAAATTCAATTTTAAAAACTTGTAACTATGCAAGCACCGAGAATAATGCAGTGAGTGGTGTATTGAAATTCACTGTTGATATGTATGTATGAAGGAGTCATTACGATTTAGTTCTGTTATTTTCTTTTGGCTATTGATATACTATTGAGCTTCGGTACTAACTATTTGAAATTCGATATGAAATGAAGGTTAAAATGGTAAATTATGATACATGACACCCTTTCAGACCGCCAGGCTCTAGAAACACTAACCATGTGCTTTAATCACTGCTGGTTTTAAGCTATTTCTCAGTTGTATCCGAAATAATTTGATATTTCTGCCCTTTAGAAAGTATAAGATTTCATAACTACACCGACTAAACAATTCTGTTCTCCAAACTCATGGGACGTTGTCCTAAAATTAAAGTAACGGAAAATACTGTTACAATCTTAGCACTGTTACTATATAAACACTTTTATAAGTGTCTGGTCAACCCTACATACATATGTATGCACTGTGTATTATAAAAAAAGTTTGGAGAATCCGGAAAAAAACACCTCACAACACACGTATAGTTGAAGTTGTATATATATTATATATATTCGCGTTAATTTTAAGAAAGTAACTGTGTTTTCATATAAAATGAATTCATTGAACAAACCTTTTAGCAGACACTTACCATGCCCACTGCAGAGCCAGGTGGTACACCAAGTGCCGTTTGCGGATGTCCTGGACGTGCCGCCTGTAGACGCTGCAGTAGCACCGCCCGATTGAGATCTTCCAATTGCTTTTGTTGCTGTTGTTGTTGTTGTTGTTGTTGCTGCTGCTGCTGTTGCTGTTGCACAGCTACTGCTTGAGCCACCTGCGCATGAGCGTGAGCGTGGGCTTGAGCTTGCGCCACCTGTGCTTGTACTTGTGCTGCCTGTGCCTGTGCATGTGCTGCTGCGTGCGCATGTGCATGCGCTTGTGCCGCCTGCACTTGAGCTTGTGCTTGTGCCTGTGCTTGCGCTTGAGCATGTGCTTGGGCATGTGCATGGGCGTGTGCTTGCGCCTGCGCTTGAGCCGCTTGAACTTGTATCGTTGCTACCATTGCTGCAGTCTGAGTGTGGGAAAATATACAAGTATAGTATAAAGAGAGAGAGAGAGAGAGAGAGAGAGAAAGGCAATCAGTATTAATGATTGTGGTGTTATATTCGTAACGAAGGGCAAATGAATCATATCATATTTAACTGTGAAACTTTTCACATTATACGTATGTATGTAATATCATAATTTCCTAATATCATATATTCTGAATAAAAATAATTAAACTTATATTTTTGCATCACCTAAAATTATATAGAAACCATAGCGTAGAGACAAAGTCAATAGATTTCAGACAACAAAGCCATACAATTTGGGATCCATCTTTCACTCTCTGTACGTGCACAATTTCTCAAAGAGAGTACATTAAACCATATATGTACGTATGAGTACATACTTTTCTAGCCAAAGTTCCTAAAAACGATCTTATCTATACTGCTGAGTCTTCTTCTCCTCGGGATCTTCGGCGTAGAAGACTCACTGCAGAAGTTGAAACCCAACTCTTTAACTACTCTGTACTACATCATGTGGAGGAACGTAGTAGTGTACATATATCTAAAAGGATGGCTGAAAATGTTTTCGCAGTACTGCAGATACTCTATTGGAGTAAGGCGCCACAATTATGCAGTTATCGCCTGGTGAATTTCAATGGAACGAGTCTCACTAACTGGATACTTGCAATGAAATCAACACTATGTTGTTGTTGTAGTGGTTCGCTAACCCCACGTAGGAGCAGGCTAGATCAGTCTAAGGTCATCGAACGGAGGGTTCAGGAAACCAGCTGTTCCGACGAGTTCAGACCAGAGGAAAAGGTGAGTCATATTAGTTGGTTTTAGGAGACATGCAAAGAGGTGGTTAGTGTCATGCGGTGACTCATTACATGCAGGACATACGTTGAGTACTTCGCACTCAAGTCTACTGCAATATTCAGATCTAAGTTGCGCCAGTATTACGCGGGACTCTCGAGAAAAGTCGAGCTCTTCTTCTGCCATAGGTGGAAGTTTGACGCCGAGAACGCTATTCTCTGAAAGAGAGTTTGTAAAGGTGTTGACGGACTCTCGGCAAATGGTGTTTAATACCTGTCGGTAAGCCGTTGTAGTTGTTGTTGTTGTAGCGGCTGCGCTAAACTGTCTTCGGGACATGTTTAAAAGCAATCTGAAGTCACAGAGGTCATCTATCACGTAGGTCCTGGAAACGTGCTGTTTCGATGGGGTCGGACCAGATGGGTAAGCCGTCCTGTCCAGCGGTTGTTTGTAGGTGGTGCTGAATGCAGTCCTTAAAGCCGAGTACTTCCTTTCTGATGTGCCTAGGTGGAGGTTCGGCTTTTATTAAATACCTGTTGAAGTGCTCGCTATGGTAGTTGTCACCTTTCATTTTTTGTATAACCTTCTTTTTTCACTATCCTCAATTACATACATACAATCGGACGAATGAAGTTTTATTTTTAAACTTGCGGTGGAGGGTGCTGAAAATATTCCACAACAAAAATGCAAATTTCGCTTCATTTGTCTTAGAATGTATTAATCCAATATTTTCTCATCTGATGGATCGGTATCATTGTCAACTCATTCAAGTCTGTAATATAGAAGTTCAAGCGCACTCTATCGGAATCGCTGACACTGTGTCATCAAAAAAATAAAACAAAATATATACAAGTGTTCCTCTCAATTGATTAGAAGAACCGTCGTCGTGCGTGTCAAGAGGTTACCTGCGGTGAGTCATGGCTGTTGTTGTTGTTGTTGTAGCGGTTCGCTTTCGGAGTCATGGCTGTCATAAGTGGTGATTAAAATCCAATAACTTATACGATATTCTGTGGGTTAATTTTAAAAAGGCAGCAGTAGCTGATAGGTTTGCTCTGTGGACTAACATTCGAATGTCTAGGCTTCGAGTCGTGGACCGAGGAACCGACCAACATCCAAGATTACAAAAAGTAAACCATTTTTCTAATTACCATCTGTCTTCACCAGGGAATTTCAAGTCCTCCGCGAGAAGTTTTGACATTAATTAAAAGCTTTTCATAAAAATCCGTCCGCTGTTCGAAGGCGGCTTAGAATGATCTTTAGGTCCATCCATTTGCTTGAAAATCATCAAGATGCACATCGTACACCTGATTTAACTGGATTGAAAGGCTTGAGGTTTTTAGATTGTTTTTCTTTTTTTTTATGCAGATAATCCTGCCAAACAGCTTTTGAGATGTCAGAGGAGGGTAGAGTTTAAAATTAAAAAATTCCTACATTTGAGATTTTCATCAAATTTCTTCAAGAAATTAATTAAATTAAGAATTTAATGCATTTGTATACAAAATAAAATTAGTTTTTAGCCAAGTAAATCAATAAAAACATATTTAATAATATTTGTTAGGTGAACAAAGCTTTCAATATAGATGTAAGGCAACTAATAAAAAGTTACTTTCGAGATAGAAAATAAATAACCGCAGCAAAATTTATAAAAAATAATTAAGAAAAATAGGAAATGTGTGTATATACTCTGCTTGGTATCGCAATTATTTGTCTGAATATTGTTATTTCAAAGTGTCTGCAGGTAAAAAAACGCGCATTTAGAATTTTTAGTTGTTACGTTGCAGTTATAAACGAAAATTGTATTTTTTCCCCAATTTTAATATATTATTTTTTTTATTTATCTCAATGTTCAAGCTAAAGCAACCGAACCCTTAGAACCCTTACTTTTGCAATTTTAAAATCAGACAACACTTATTTTTACACTTTTGCATACATCATATTAATTACCGTTAAATTGAGACATTTGTGGGAACTTACAGTAATAAAAGGTTCAAACTAATTTGTTTGCAGGGAATGTGTGAGCACTTTAGAACCACGCCAGATTGTAGTAAAAAAAGAACTTGTAGGCATTTATTTTAAAAATTTCATGATTTATTTCAATTAAAATCGTCTTTTTATTTTTATCTGCATTGTAAATTATAAAAATACACACAATTATACACTCGTTAAGGTTTGTCGGAATTTCAAAATTGCAAAAAATAAGGCAAATTATATTAGAGTACACTAAAACGATTATACAAACGATGCCTGATATCTAGTCTATTCTTACTGAGATAAATAATAATTTAATTAGAAATTTGGAGCTTTTGCAGGTGAATTATGTTGCTCACAATTTAAATCCCGCTTGCGTGTGCAAATATTATTTTCTAACTGTAATAACTATATAAACCTGAAAATATGCACTGTTCCTTTGTATAAATTGTTTTGAATATGTGGAAATGGTATTCTTAAATGCAAAATTTTCCCACTTAAGCAAAAATTGAATAACCTGTACTTATTTATATATATATATATACTTCAATGAATGTAATGTTCTTATATCTCTTATATCTGTATTTGGGTATCTGCGTAATTTTCACGATACTACTGCCGAGAATTGTGAAAGAAATTTTTTTTTGCCCTCCTACATACACCTGGCTCAATAATTATATTGACTATGATTTCTATATCTATGGTAAGCACTCACTTCCTGGGCCTTTGAAAAAGCTGCAGCCTGGGCTGCTGCTGCTGCACTCGACGTACTCGAACTTGTTGGAATTGTCATTGATGATGAACTGCTCACAGCAGCATTGTGATTTTGCATCATAGATCCAGATGTGGAAATACGCTGCTGATGGTTATTGCTACTTGTTAATTTCTGTTGATATTTTGGTTTGCGCGCACGTAACTCCTCTAAACTTAAATCTTCAGGTGGATGCATAATTTTTGATGTGATACCAGTTGCGTTTCCTGTTGGTACTGAAGGTGGTAGTTTAGATCCTTCAGGTGGTGCAGAATTTCCTGTGGCACTGGGATTATTGGTTGTTGGTGGTGCACTAATTGTTGCATTACTGTAAATCGTAAAAATTTCATTTGATAAATCTGAAAATTTTTCACTTTAATTTTGAGACTTGATCTTACCTGTATGCAGGAAATGTTGGTTTCTGGGGCACTATAGCCGGATTTACCGCAGCAGCTGAAGTGGTAGCCATAGCAGGAAAGAGTGGTCGCGGTGGTAACATATGCGGCGGCATCATTGGTATACCGCCTGGGCCTAAAAATGGTGGCATTGGGGCCATTGGTGGCATATTGGTCATCATGCCCATTGGCGCAAACTGTCCCATCATTGGTGGCATCATATTTGGGGGCATCATCATAGGCGGTGGCGCCGATAACGGTACTATAAAATGTAACAGTAGTACTGAAACTATTTAAATATGACTTCAATTAATATTTCTTACTTTCAACTTTCTTTTTTGCTGCTGGTTCATCGTCATCGGAATCAGATTTACCGCCATTCTTTTGTCTTTCATGTTCACGAACATCTTCTGCGGGTATTCCATCCATTCCGAAAATTTCGATTTCAATGTTGGACCTATTTGGCAACGAATTAGGCACCTTGTCCACAGTTTCTTTGTGTACTTGCATGCAATGAATCGATAAACCAGGCCCTGTATACAATTTCTTGTGACATATGTGACATTTGAAATGTTTCGCCTTCTGATGCTGCACCAAAATTTTTTCATCATCGAATTCTCTGTTACAATACCTAAATAGTTATTAACAAAAATATTAAGGAAAACAAGCGAACTAAAATTACAACGCGGAAATAGCACCAAACTTTCTATACAACGTGGCGCAACAAGGAGCCCCAAATAAAAGCGCTCTGTTGACGCAATTACATAAATGAGTGTAGATACTATTCCTACAAAGGATAAATTGTTTTCAATTTTTTCAAAGGATACCAGCACCACGGTTTTGAAGCCTTCTTCTTCTTTCGGCCCATATTTTACGATATTGTATTTTTACTGATTATTAAAAAAAAATACTGTTTTTGTTTTCAAAGATTAACAAATTTTTCGCTTCGAACTTAAATTTTTCGTACAAATCACATATAACAAAATGGCCTACTAAAATTATTTTCTTCTTTTGTGCTGACATTCTTAGTTGAAGGGTTGCACTCAAATTGAAGAGTCAATAATGGTATAAGCACATTGCTACGTGGACGCGACATCATAACGGTCACACTGTAAATGCCGTCGTCGTCGATATAAACATTATTATAAAATAAGTAATAATTTTAATTTGCCATAACATATTTCTACAAATTAAGTAAATCTACAGATATACATGTATATGTACATCAACTGATTAATTTTAATTAAATGAATATGGCTATCGGAATAATGAAGTTGTGAACGATGTTATCGTCAGTAAGGTAGTCAGGGAAACGGGCTATAAACAGATGTGCAATTCAAAAATTCCTGCCATGCTGCCGCACTACTTGATATTATCGTATCATATCTTGTTTTTTAATGTAGCGGTTAGCAAACCCAGCCTAGGAACAGACAAAATCGTTCTAAGTCATCGAGGCCATTTATCGGTAGGTCTATTAAACCGGCAGTTTCGAAAGGTTCGGATCAGAGGGAGGAGGTAAAGAGCATGTGCGGCGACTCATTTCATACATTGGATATTTCGAGGGCAAGTCTGGATAGATAAGAATAAAGTCGACTTTAATATACAGGCCTTAACTTGTAACTTCTTCCATTCCATGTCGCTAATCCACGGCGTAAAGATCGGTTTAAAATAGTTAACTACCGGCCCGGCAGGTGATACCGGGGATGAATTTCTCAATGTCCGATAGCTGCACTGCGTGGTGGTCTGATTCATACTCTTTTGACAAATCCAATGCTACCAGTACAGTTCATGCAATGGGTTATCTGGGTGTTTACGGCATTAAGTGCGGTTGTGGTGCTATTCACTTTTCGGAAGACATGCACAGACGGGAGCAGAAGTTAAATTCACTGTTTCAGCAAGGAAGTTAGGGCAGATTTCCGGAATAGGGAAAGCCGGTGTGAAGTGAGTGACTACAAGCCCGGTGAATTCCGTTTTTTTTTAAGTTGTGAAATGTCTGGTGATCCGCGGAAACACAGTCGAAAGGTCTCTCGATCGAGGCAATCATAGGCAAAGGCCTAAGGTGTTGCTCCGTTGATATACTTTAACTAAGGTTGTCTGTTTACAATGGAGGGATTAAATCCGAGCCAACTCTGATGCCTAGAACCGGCTGTCATGAGTGTTCTCCTCTTCCTTTAACGCTACTGCCACAAGAACCTGAAGAACTAAAAGAGTACCTAAACCGCGCAATCAATTGCTTTTTCTCCAGATTGGATAAGGGAAGCCTCGCTTCCTGTAGTGAATGGTAGACGAAATATTCAATAAGTGCTTCGCGTCCTGTCATTTACGACGTTGTAGACGATTTCTTTTATCTAGGAATCGTCAACAACACCGTCAACAATGTCAGTCTTGATATCCAATGCACAATAACTATTTACAACAATTGCTACTTTGGACTGATTTGACATTTGAAAAGTCCTCTTCCGTCGAACAAAGACAAAACTCACCTTCATCATTGCCGCCCTGCTATATGACGCGGAGACTTGGTCGAGGAAAACATAAAACGAGTTGGAATTAACAGTTTTCGAGAGGAACGTTTTATGGAAGGTTTATAGTTATAGAGACAGCGGAGGAAAGAGAAGAACGCCACTCCGTTGGAAAGATCAGGTGCAGAACGGCAATTGGAACCAAACATCGAAAAGAAGAAGCATCGAAAAGAAGAAGCGAATACTAACGACTGTCACCGAAAATCAACGAAATCGGACGACTATATCACATAGCCCACATAAAACCGATTTGTTCAGATATGAGTTTTTTGTCAAAAATTTTTAAAAAAGAGTATTTGAGACTACTACTCTACCCACTTGTATTTAAATAAATATTGACACCGCAAAGCCTTCTCGGCATGACCGAAGACAGCTCTTCTTTTCTATAGCACTAAGCTGGGTCAGGTCGCCAAATAAAGGCCGGATAAACTTCTGGTCAACTCCGGTGCGTGGTGCGATCTGTCGAGAGAGTCGATACGCTTACTGCTCTGATCACTATGAGCACTAAATATTTGAACGGTCCCGTCTCAAGTTAGTTCCTTATATATATAATATATATATTGTTGCGAAAATGCGAGGCGAATGTCAGATGAAAGAGAGAAGCCGATAACTAGTACGTTCTAGAAAAGATAAAACAAGAACCTTCCATAGCGAACAATTCGATGCTTCTACGCTTTCGTCTGCGAGCAGCCGACTGCTATATAAAGGCGACACTCAGCTGCAAGTCAAGTTAGTGATAAAGTAAACTCGTTGGCGTTAACATCAGTAAAGTCGTAAAGTAAACACGTTGGAGAGTACATTTAAGTAGAGTGAATTGTGCAAGTTGATGATAGTGATTGTAAATAGTAGAGTGTATTGTAATTGTATTGTGAATTACGGAGTAAATAAAAGACATTAGATAAAATCTTTATAACGAGAGAAACTGCAAATTGAATTGGCGAGTTTTTATTTAACAATCCAGAGATCGTACCCGAAGGATCTAGAAAATAATCGAGGTTGATTTAGTAAAATCGTAACAATATAATTGGCACTTTGTAAGCGCTGAAGCGATTTTTCGGCCGAGCTCCTCCTCCAATTTGCTGATGACTTTTGGATGTTGGTCGCACGGAAAATTGAACTCGAGCCTTCCGAATGGCAGTACGCAATGCTAACCACTCGGCTACCATGGCCGCCAACTTAGTACCTTAAACTAGCTACACACAATTCACATCTTGTTTTTCAATGCGTATGTATGTATGTTGAAAGCTTTGATTCATTTGCGATAAGAGCGGCAATTGGTAAATTTTAAAAATTACAACAAATAACAGTTTCGTCTCAAAATATGTTTATTAGCTATATACATACATTCAATTGTGATTTAAAGAATAAACACCGTAAGTGGCTCAACACAAACCGAGCCACTTGCTATATTTTATTGTATGTTTACAGTCAGGAGTGAATTTTTATCAGCATTTCAGATGCAATCGATATAAAGAGGAATGGCGAATGACTTTCAAGTCCTCTATTATGATATAATAATGACAATAGTTTGATATTCCATTGACTTTGGGACTATTGTAACTTCATTTTAGTCACACCGTCGCTCAAACTAACGATAGTAAAAGTGAATATTGCTCTTGCTCTTACTCCAATTGATGAGCCAAAGAGAAAGCTCGACACACTACAATACCTGGTGATCTCGACACCTATAAATATACAACATCACCATCGCACAATTTTCAGTTGGTACGCGCATCTGCGGGTGATCGGTTATACATTTACACGGATTGGTATCAGGAACTGATTACGTACTTAGAGTTTTGTTAAAAAAAAAGTGAACAAGAGTGGATCAAACGAGCAAAGATATTACTGCATCGATGGTGATGACCTCTTAAAGAAAATGCTTTCGCAAAAAATACTTCCAATCAATAATGTAATCAAGGTCGTACATGAGGATAAGTTTAACGCTACCTGGAAACGATTTATTATTGTTGATAATAAAGTGAAGAATGTTATGAGAGTTAATAATAAATATTGGCAATGTGCAATGCATAAAATGTCTCACGAAAAGTTGTTTACACGATTACGGTTTTTTGTGTTGTTAATGGCGTTTATTTCGGTATCCAGTTTGAATGTAAAATGTTTTGGTAATTTCTCCTCTATTATAAAATTCCAATATACATAGTCAGTTCATATCTATATAAGTGTGTATATGTACATATGTACATAACAATGCTGATGCGCTTTATCATTCGAAAGTTGTCAAAGTTACTCGTATGTGCTCCAAATGCGCTCCTCTCCTGCACTGTAGCTGTGAATGGGACCGCTGAATTGCTCACGGTCATGGCATTTGTAATCTATGCAGCTGTAAATCTTTAAACACGAGTGAAAAAGTGAACCGTTAAAAACAATATTCGGTTGAGATGAATCTCTTGTAATTTGTTGACTCGCAAGTTTAAAATAATAACGGAATGTAACAATCTTGAAAAACTATTTTTTTATAAATTTATACTTTCCGGCTATGTTATGTGCTCGATGTATGGTTGTTGTCTGGATACAATTCGGTTGCCCCTCGGCAAGTAATGACCATACCTCCGAGTGTATTTCTCAAATGAAATAAAAAGTTCCTCATATATATCAGATCTCTCGTTAGAAAATCTTTAAAATACTCACCGAAAATAGGAGGAATATTCGGCAACGCGCCGTTCCACTTTATGAAAGATATTGCGAAATAATCTTGGTTTTCGGGCTTACAATATACAACTTGTGCAATAATTGAAGTCGTGCGATCAACAAGAGCCTCGCACATTCGTTGAATGTGCTCAAAACGAGATGGCGCGAAAAATTTTGTACAGCGATAAAGCTCACTTTGGTTGAATTGATACATTAATAAACATAATTATCGCATTTGGCCGAGCTCCTCGTCCAATTTTCGCGATGCAGCTCGATGTTTTTCCAAAAAATTGAGAGACCTACAGTTTATATAAAGCCGCCTCCGAACGGTTGATGGATTCATTATGAAGTGCCTTAATTTCATGTCTATGATACGCTCAAAGGGGTTGATATGCCCTGCTGAGGTGCGACCGCAATTAATTTAACTTCATTTTTAATTTAATTAAGTTCCTATAATTTTTGATGTTGGTCATCTTGAAAACCGCATGTTTAAAAAAACACTCTTTTATAGCGTGAACGCTAAGAACATCTGATGAGCCGATTTTGAGAGTCTACGAGAAAAAGGATTTTCGTCTGCGTATACGCGAAGTCGAATATTGCAGATTATGAAACGATGAGCTGTATGAGAACCCCTGCGGGTTAGGGATTCAATAATTTACTCTCGATAAGGCCTGCCTGGTGAAGGCAGGAGCTTCGGCGATATCACAATGAACCTATTGGCCTAAGTGTGTTGGGGTTTTTGACCATCAACTCAACTCAACTCAAGGCATACCTGTTCCAAGAGGTGATTAAAATTCTATAGTTCCCACGGCAGCCGGGGAACCGATGCGCCAGACTGTCACTCCCGCAATATTCCCCGAAAACAAATTTGGAGAATATTTTAACGGTTATAGTAACAACAATATCTGTATGAGATATACATATATATATATGACAACTTATACGACTTTCCACGGCATAGTGAAATATATTAGTTCCGCTTATTAAGAAACAGCGACTACGCTGACTATGCCACTCTAGTTTGGAAGTATGCGATGCAGTACCCGCTAATTGTTTGTAACACATGAAAGGGAAGTGATGGTCTTGGAAAAAGATCAGCTGTGAAAGCACCTGGCACCGCACACAAACAATTGGCTCATCATTGTTAGTTCGGCTACAATCGCGTAAGCGATGCTTACGCCGAAGAAGAAGAAGAAAAAATTGCATGCTTTGCTTGTTTATATGGGAAATTCCAAATGTGATACTCAACAACATGTACGCATTTTGACCACACTAACGATCTTTTTCTACCCGATGCGTAAAGCCTACGAAAATCGGTACGGTTTGAATACGGTGTGTAAATGCGTGTGTGTGTGTGTGTGTAAATATATTAAATCATACCTCGAAGAAAAATCAATCATACCAATGACCGGTTGTTTTGAGTTTGACGATGCCATCGCATTCATAAATGGTGTAACATACTCGTATATACATACTTATGTACAAGTGTAACATTAGCTGTGTTCGTTGAGAAATGGCCGTAAAAACTAGCTAGAAGTAAAATTAGCTGGCTTGAATGAAAACCATGAAAAAGCTTTATTTATCCTTTTAATATTTCATTTGGTGCTTCGTCGTCGCTACCGGAAGCTTAATGAATGCATTATCGTCAATGTGACCGTTGCAACAATCTTGCTTTGCAATGTTTTGCGGCTCATTTGGTCTACACTGCTTTATAGTAAATTTGAGGAATCCAAAATCAATTTGCGTTGTACTCAAAATAGTAATATAATCTAATTTTATCTAACTTCTTATTTTTCAACGCAAGCTGGGTTGTGTGTGGGCAATGATTCCGCTCCACTGCCACCACATTTTCGTTTAACGAGTGCCTTTACTATCGTTGGAATCAATAGATATTGTTCAGTTAAATTAAACAAATTACATTTAACCACTTATTTTGTTGACATATCATTCATACTAAGGAATTAAAATTAATTTCAATTTCAAATTAATTTTGTGTTGTTGACAAGTATTCAATCATATGATCACAAATCAGCTGTTTTTCATACTTGCTCTTCTCTCCAACTGAGCATCAAAACATCACTCTCTCTGTTTACCAATTTTTACTGAGTTTTGAGCTCAAAGAACACCACCCAGTAAAGTTTGGTAAAAATTGTTGCCGCACATATGATCAACGAACAAACCTATTATTGCGTGTATGCGTGGATTAGAGTATTGGCGTTCAGCTGACTATGACACATTTGGCGACACGCATTGCATATCTCTATTCCACTGACTTACTTGAACTAAATTTTGAAAAATTTTTTGCCTTGTAATTATCTTTGATCTTTCGATCTGTACTGTTGGAATGTGTGAAAACCGGGAGTGACAAGCAAAAATTAAATTCCAAATATCCTTCATGTATTGCATATATGTATGTATGTATCCATTTGAAAAATAGGCAACTCATTACTAAAACATGCATGCCAATGTAAGCGAAGTGGTAATGTGAACTACTTCCAAGAATGATGTATTATAGATTGCACCTTTAGATTTTGTTATTGTTTGTGTATACGTGTATGTCATATTGTTTTGATGAAATCTCTATTCGCATTCATTTCCAAGGAGAAATGTGTGAACTGTGCATATTTTAAAAAAGAAATTATTCAAATAATATAATTTTGGAACTAGTGTATTAATGGAATTTGAAAAAAAATTTGTACATACATATATACTATATTTTCAAACTCCAATCTATAATATGCTTTGTCCATAAAATATTTGGTAATTGAAAGAGATTATCCATTAGTGAATATAAAAATTGCCTCGAGTGGAGGTATGTATTAAACCATTTATCACTTGGCAGGGTTAATCTCACACTCAGGGGAGTAGTCAATGAGTAATATGCTGGGAATTTCAACGCGCAGTCTACGGCATATAAGAGCACATCCGGCTACATAAGTAGCTGGATGAGTACATTTCATTCAATTTTATAAGCGTACAATAACCTGTAATAATTGGATTACGAACTTCGAAGTCAGAGGTATCATCACATCAACTTCTGTATTTCCGTCAGAGGATGCAGCGCCTTATTATACCCAAGAATGTAGCTTCTAAGTTTATATTTGAACTCCTCATGTTCAGTTTGATCGTGCAACCCGTCTCTAGCTCCAGGGGATTCAAACGAATTTCAAATAAGATTAAAGTTCAAGTCATTACATACAATTTCTTGGCGACCGGTGGGCCGGGCGGTAAATGAACTAAACCCAACTGCTGTTTTTTTTACAATTTATCTGTCGGTAATCAAATAAAATTAAGTTCAATTTGAACTACTTCCTGGTTTCCTATTGAGCCGAAATTTTGCATGCATGTGTACATTGGATGATTTACTAACTTATTGTTTACTGGCGTAGACACCGCTTACGCGAATACAGCCGATTTATCAACATTGCGCCACTCGTACAGCTCAAAGGACCATAAATCTTACAAAACCTTTCTCTCTAAAACTCCTAACGCCGACTCATCAGTTGTTGTCATCGTCCATGCAGAGCACTTTACTTTTCAATTGCCTGTTAGGAAGAGTAATTCTGTGATTGTTATTATTGGTGTTGATGCTGCTTCCCATGGATGACAATGCAATATTAAAATAATATTATGGCATAGAGGTTGGTGGAGCTGGAAGGTGGCCATAGGAACTGCGTAATTGAACGCTGCAACCGCATCGAGTTTGGATCTGTTTGATTCGAACGTTGAATATGCTATTTCAGCAGATGGCAATGTGTCACTCTCGAAGCTCTTGCTGAAGTTGCTTGGATTTCATTCAAAAAGAATACTAAAAATTCTAAAATTCTCTGTTAGCATTGCCGGTAAATACATAAAAATATTTCCAAACTCCTTTTCATACTACAAGAAAAGCTGGCTTTGCATAAATCTTCGTCCTTTCGGAGGACTTTATGGTATGTCGGCTATGAAACATCTAGGATTACCAGCAAAGCAGAAAATATCGAACTGTATAAACGGACGGTTGGAAATGTAAACCCCAAAAACAAACTGTTAAAAAATTTCCTGACTAATCTTTACTGAATCCTGTTCAGTGAAAGCTTAGTAAATATCGCCCTTTGGGAGAGTAAGACTTTTTAATCTCTCAATTTCTTTATTGGCTTATTCTTACTGCCATCTCTCACCGTACAAAGCTTATATGCATATAAATCAGCTGTTAATCATTCTTGCTAATTTTTACTGGCTGCAATTTTCTCAGCACGAATTTGCTAAATTTATTTACAATTTTTACTGCACACCGGTTCATCGAGCCTGACTATTGCCTATTCCAAGTGGGTAGTTACTTATAAAAATACAAATTCAAATAAAAAAGTTTATTATATTGTACAAACATACATTCTTGTGCCAACAAAAACGGTTATATGATATTCGAATCGTGCGTGGCGTTAATCAGCATGCAATACGTTTATTACTTTACATACATATATTTTTTATTGTG